CAAAAATTTACAAGGATGTGAACCCTAATTGTGTTCGATGTAACCAGTCCCCTGCTAATCATGTGCACATGTTTTGGTGCTGCCCATCTCTTGTTGGTTTCTGGAAAGACATCTTTAACACACTCTCAGAATTAAGCGGCACACAGATCGAGCCAGACCCTCTCATTGCATTATTTGGAGTTTCCTTACCCACAATACAATTGACCAAAATGAATAAGGATGTAATTGCCTTTGTCACGTTGTTAGCGAGACGATTAATTTTACTTAGATGGAAATCCTCTGCAGCCCCTTCTCATGCTCTTTGGATTAAATCTATTTTGAATTGCATAAAGTTGGAGAAAATAAAACAGACACTCAATGGGTCTGTAGACAAATTTTATGCAAAGTGGGCTCCCTTCTTTTCTTATGTTAAAAGAATACATTTCCCTGCAGTTCCAGAGTGATGTATATTTATATATTGGTGATGTAAGAAGCCTGGTATGTGCATATACGACATCTCGGATGTTAAGGACGGTAATAACTGTGCTAGCTGACCTATAACAACTGGATCAAAAACAGATATTTTTCCTTTTTTTTTTTTTTTTTTTGTTTTGTTGTGTTTTATCTTATTTATGTACTTAATGTCTATTTTTTCTTTCATGTCTGTCTCTCCATGTTTTGCTGTATCGTTGTCTTCAAATTGTTGTTCCATATTCATACCAAATAACTTTCAAGTGCAATTATTTACTAAATGCTGGTACTGAAAATTCAATAAACAAAGTATATATAAAAAAAAAAAAGAAATGCATATCCCTTGCCCTCCCTTTGGAAAATCTGACCATAACTCTATCCTCCTGGTTATAAGCAAAAACTCAAAACAGGAAGTACCAGTGACGAGCTCAATACGGAAGTGGTCCGATGAAGCGGATGCTAAACTACAGGACTGTTTCACAGACTGGAATATGTTCCGGGATTCATCCGATAACACTGAGGAGTTTACTACATCAGTCACCGGCTACATTAATAAGGGTATCCACAACGTCGTCCCCACAGTGACCGTACGTACATATCCCAACCAGAAGTCATGGATTACAGGCAACATCTGCACTGAGCTAAAGGCTAGAGCTGCCACTTTCAAGAAGCGGGACACCAATCTGGATGCTTATAAGAAATCCCACTATGACCTCCGACGAGCTATCAAACAGGCAAAGCATCAATACAGGACTAAGATTTAATCCTACTACGCCGGCTCTGACAATTGTCGGATGTGGCAGGGTTTGCAAACTATCAGGGATTACAAAGAAAAACCCAGCCGGGAGCTGCCCAGTGACACGAGCCTACCAGATGAGCTTAATGCCTTCTATGCTCACTTCGAGGCAAGCAACACTGAACCATGCATGAGAGCACCAGCTGTTCCAGACGACTAAGTGATCTCGCTCTCCGTAGCCGATGTGAGTTAGACCTTTAAACAGCTTAACATTAACACGGACGCGGGGCTAGATGGAATACCAGTATTCACTGAAATTTTCAACCTCTCCCTGACCCAGTCTGTAATAACTACATGTTTCAAGCAGACCACCATAGTCCCTGTGCCCAAGAACGCCAAGGTAAACTGTCTAAATGACTATCGCCCCGTAGCACTCACATCTGTAGCCATTAAATGCTTTGAAAGTACTCTCATCAACACCATAATCTCAGACACCCTGGACCCACTCATATTTGCATACCCCCCCCCCAACAGATCCACAGATGATGCAATCTTTATTGCACTCCACACTGCCCTCTCCCACCTTGATAAAATGAACACCTATGTGAGAATGACGTTCATTGACTACAGCTCAGCGTTCAACACCATAGTGACCTCCAAGCTCATCACAAAGCTCAGGACCCTGGGACTAAACACCTCCCTCTGCAACAGGATCCTGAACTTCCTGATAGGCCGCCCCAGGTGGTGAGGGTAGGCAACATTACATCAGCCACACTGACCCTCAACACGGGGGCCCCTCAGGGGTGTGTGCTTAGTCCCCTCCTGTATTCTCTGTTCACCCACGACTGCAACACCATTATTAAGTTTGCTGACGAAACGACAGTGGTAGGCCTGCTCACCATCGATGACGAGACAGCAGGGATCATCAACTAGAGTCAGCCGCGAGCAGATTTTTTCTTGAGCAGATGGACGGGGGGCCGGAACATAATTACAAATAATTTGTAGACTGCAAATTGACCGCAAGAAGCCCAAACATATATAATATGACTAAAACAATCATTTCAAACCTTGCTTACATTTGTATATGATCACGTCGCTCTATAATGCGTGGGAATACTTGGGAACAGATTTCCAAAAAGTGTGGTGCCAGGACACCAACATTTCCCTCAACATCAGCAAGACAAAGAAGCTGAGCGTGGACTACAGGAAACGGAGGGCCAAGCACCCCCCTATCCACATCGATGGGGCTGTAGTGGAGCGGGTCGAGAGCTTCAAGTTCATCGGTGTCCACATCACTAAGGATCTATCATGGTCTACACACACCAACCCAGTCGTGAAGAGGGCACGACAACGCCACTTCCCCCTCAGGAGGCTGAAAAGATTTGGCATGGGCCAGCAGATCCTCAAAAATGTCTACAGCTGCACCATTGAGAGCATCTTGACTGGCTGCATCACCATTTGATATGGCAACTGCTTGGCATCCGACCACAAGGCGTTAGCGGGTAGCCTAGTGCGTATTGCCGAGTACATCACTGGGGCCGAGCTCCCTGCCATCCAGGACCTCTATAGCAGGCGGTGCAGACTCCAGCCACTCTCTGTTTATTATCTATGCATAGTCACTTTAATAACTCTACCTACATGTACATATTACCTCAATTACCTCGACTAACCGATGCCCCACAGTGACTCAGTACCGGTACCCCCTGTATATAGCCTCACTATTGTTATTTTTACTGCTGCTCTTTAATTATTTGTAACTTTTTTTTTGGGGGGGGGGATTTTTTTTTTGGTATTCTTTCTTAAAACTGCATTGTTGGTTAAGGGCTTGTAAGTAAGCATTTCACTGTTGTATTCGGCACATGTGACAAATAACATTTGATTTGATTTGATTCTCTCCGCTACCGCATAGCAAGCAGTACCGCTGCACCAAGTCTGGAACCAACAGGACCCTGAACAGCTTCTACTCCCAAGCCATAAGACTGCTAAATAGTTAACCAAATAGCTACCCGGACTATCTGCATTGAACCCAATTTGCACTTGATTAGAATTTTGCTTTGAAAATTGTCATTTTCCCACAATTGCATTTGCAGCAACGGTCATATGCTTGTGCTTCTCAGAATGCATCTCTCCATCCCTCCTCCGTGCGCACAGTGGGGAGAGGGAGTGAGAGTCAGCAGCCGACAGCGAAACAGGGACAGGCAGGTACTTTCATAGCAGGAATCAACGTAACGCAATAAGGCTATTACTGTTGACCAAATAATGGTTTTAGAACAATCAATCAATCTACAAGAACGGAGATCACCGACGTAAGCAAAATGCTTTGGTAAGAGAAAGGCAATGTTGGTGTCCACAGTGGAAATACAAAACTACAGAGGACCACACAATGGGACTCACACACACACACACACACACACGGACACACACACACGGACACACACACACACACAGTGACATCTGTAGAGAGACAGTGAGGCTGCGGATCCAGGCAGGTCGTGATCTAATTAGGCTACTTAATGACACGTCCTCACTTTATCTGGCTGCCATATAAACTAACTTTAGTGGACACATTTCAGTAATACAGTGCTGTGACAAAGTATTTGCCCCTTTCTAATTTACATATTTGTGATACCTTTAGATCTTCAACCAAAATCCAAAATTAGATAAAGGGAACCTTATTGAACAAATAACACAACAATGACATAGTTATTTCATTTATTTCATAAACAAAGTTATGCAACACCCAATTCCCCTGTGTGAAAAAGTAATTGCCCCCTTACACTCAATAACTGGTTGTGCCACCTTTAGCTGCAATGACTCCAACCAAATGCTTCCTGTAGTTGTTGATCAGTCTCTCACGTCGCTGTGGAGGAATTTTGGCCCACTCTTCCATGCAGAACTGCTTTAACTCAGTGACGTGTTTTTTCAAGCATGAACTTCTTGTCTCAAGTCCTGCCACATATCAATTGGGATTAGGTCTGGACTTCGACTAGGCCTTTCCAAAACTTCAAATGTGTTGCTTTTTAGCCATTTTCATGTGGACTTGATTGTGTGTTTTGGATCATTGTCTTGCCGCATGACCCAGCTGCGCTTCAGCTTCAGCTCACAGACGGATGGCCTGACATTCTCCTGTAAAATTCTCTGATACAGTCATGGTTCCTTCTATTAAGGCAAGTGGTCCAGGTACTGAGGCAGCAAAGCATCCCCAAACCATCGCACTACCACCAGCATGCTCGACCCTTGGTATAAGGTTCTTACTATGGAATGCAGTGTTTGGTTTTCGCCAGGCACAATGGCACACTTATTGTCCAAAAAGTTATACTTTTGACTCATCTGTCCGTAGAACATTTCCAAGAGTCTTGATGACCATCCAGGTGCTTCCAGGTGCTTTTTGACAAACTTGAGGCAACTTTTTGGACGAGATGGGTCCAATTATGTCCGGCGAAAAGTATTCAACCCGAGTCATCAAGATAGTGTTTTTTTTTTTTTTTTATGAATGTTTTACTAATGTTATAATTTTTCTTCCACTTTGACATTACAGTATTTCTTGTAGATCGTTGACAAAAAAAATTACAATTAAATCAATTTTAATCCCACTTTGTAACAACAAAATGTGGAAAAAGCCAAGGGGTGTGTATACTTTCTGAAGGCACTGTAGTTGAAGACTGACACAGGTGACTTGGTCATAGTTGGATAGATTGATTCAGCTGAAAAAGCAGAGTTGATTTTCAGAAGAAGAAGCTAGTAAGCAGAAAGTATCTATCATCACTGTGTTCCCTCTCGGTTCGGTTCATCCTTCTGTTCTGTCACTAACCTGTTGCAGAGGCTCGTCTATGTAGTTGGAGCCAGTCAGTCTCCTGTCTATCTTTATAGGCTTCGGAGCCAACCTCAGCTCATCCAACGTCTGGGAGAGGGAGGGAGAGGGGAGACGGGAGAGAGAGAGAGGGAGAGAGGGAGACGGGAGAGAGAGGGAGGGAGAGAGGGAGACGGGAGAGAGAGGGAGGGAGAGAGGGAGACGGGAGAGAGAGGGAGGGAGAGAGGGAGACGGGAGCGAGAGAGGGAGCGAGAGAGGGGAGAGGGGAGATGTTGAGAGCGAGGAGGGGGAGGGGGTGGAAGAGAGAGAGAGAGAAAGAGATAGCCATTATTTATTTATTTGTGTGTGTGTGTGTGTGTCTGCGCGCACGCGTGTGGATGTGTGTGTGTCCTACCTTCAGTATACCCGTTTGCGTGGCCGGAAGGTAGGAGTGTTCACACTTCTCTAGATGTCTCTCTGAGTTGGTCTTCCCAAACAACAGAGTGACCGCAAAACCACTGGTGATGAGAGGAGAGGGAAAGGGAGAGGTGAGGAGAGAGGGAGAGGTGAGGAGAGAGGGAGAGGTGAGGAGAGAGGGAGAGGTGAGGAGAGGAGAGAGGGAGAGGTGAGGAGAGGTGAGGAGAGGTGAGGAGAGAGGAGGTGAGGAGAGGAGAGAGGGAGAGGTGAGGAGAGAGGGAGAGGTGAGGAGAGGAGAGAGGGAGAGGTGAAAGGGGGGGAAAGGAGGAGAACAACATTTCTAGATTACACAACAAAGACAGCCCATTTCATATGAACACATCTATAAATGACTTCATAACTTCAAACTTGTGGTACACACTTACCCTCCTACGAAGCAGCAGATATAGAAGGCCAGGTAGAAGATAGCGAAGGGTCCGAAAGTGATGAGGAACAGCACCACTCCTAGACCCCCCCATCCCCACACAGACAGACTGGCCTACAGAAAAAGACAGAGACTTTATTTCACTTTTTTGTTGATCTATTTCACTTTTTTTGGCAATGTAAACATATGTTTGCCATGCCAATAAAGCCCTTTGAATTGAATTGAGAGAAAGAGGGAGCGAGAGAGAGAGCGAGAGAGGGAGCGAGAGAGAGAGCGAGAAAGAGGGTTAACGTACAGCAACAAATCAGCACCAATATCACCCACCTAATTTGACATTTTAGCTAAATAACACTAGAGAAAGTCAGATGGAGAGTGAGGGGGGGGGGGGGGAGAGAGTGATAGAGAGTTCCTCATCCTCATGTTTCCTGCTATTGTCAGAGCAGGAAAACAGAGAAACTAACTGCTGACCTCACCACTAACGGCGTTAGCTCTCTCACTGCATCCTAACACAGTCTCACACAGCTTACAGGCTCACGCTAACAAGCTAACTGCTAATGCTAGCTCTCGCATTGCAACCTGTGACCCAGTCTCATGCTAACAAGCTAACTGCTAATGCTATGCTAGCTTTCTCCCTGCATCCTGACCTTGTCTCACACAGCCTACAGTGCAGGCTAACACTAGCAAGCTAATGCTAGCAGGCTCCCTACGTAACCCAGTCTCCAGCCAATACTGGCACACATCATACAGGCTAACAACCTACAATGAGTTTATTCATTACCTCAGGTCATTAGCCTACATCTGAGAGTTTCTTCAGGCTACTTGAAAGACAGCCAGGCTAACAGCTAAAGCTGGTCCTAAATATATATTCTGCATGAGGATTGTCTACCAGACGGTCTAAATTACAGATCATTTGTTTAGTTTACATTCTTCTGATGTTTTCTGAGAGAGGTAAACGTACCAGGAGTGCCAGGTGATACGGTGAGACAGGTGTCTGAGACTGTCACAGAGGGGTCATGCAGGTGAAACGGGGCAGGAAGGAAGGAAGGGAGAACTAGGCCATGGTTAACACAGACTGGCTCCTGAAAGGCCCAGCACAGGACAGGACAAGACAAGACAGGGCAGCTAGCGCTAGCCTATAAAGTAGCATGTTAAAAAGAAAGCATGACCAAGGGGAATAAAGAAGAGAAATTAAGACAGAATGTGATTTTGCCATCTGATCCAGAGCACCCTGCTGATCACTCACTGTAGAGCCACCACCCTGCTGATCACTCACTGTAGAGCCACCACCCTGCTGATCACTCACTGTAGAGCCACCACCCTGCTGATCACTCACTGTAGAGCCACCACCCTGCTGATCACTCACTGTAGAGCCACCACCCTGCTGATCACTCACTGTAGAGCCACCACCCTGCTGATCACTCACTGTAGAGTCACCACCCTGCTGATCACTCACTGTAGTCACCACCCTGCTGATTACACTCACTGTAGTCACCACCCTGCTGATCACTCTCACTGTAGTCACCACCCTGCTGATCACTCTCACTGTAGTCACCACCCTGCTGATTACACTCACTGTAGTCACCACCCTGCTGATTACACTCACTGTAGTCACCACCCTGCTGATCACTCTCACTGTAGTCACCACCCTGCTGATCACTCTCACTGTAGTCACCACCCTGCTGATCACTCACTGTAGTCACCACCCTGCTGATTACACTCACTGTAGTCACCACCCTGCTGATCACTCTCACTGTAGTCACCACCCTGCTGATCACTCACTGTAGTCACCACCCTGCTGATTACACTCACTGTAGTCACCACCCTGCTGATCACTCTCACTGTAGTCACCACCCTGCTGATTACACTCACTGTAGTCACCACCCTGCTGATCACTCTCACTGTAGTCACCCCGGCTGATTACACTCACTGTAGTCACCACTGCTGATATCACTGTTATCACACGGCTTATCACTCACTGACGAACACTAGATGGATAGGGGTAATGTGGTTGTGTTCAGGTTATCTACACTAGATGGATAGAGTTAGTGTCTGTGGTTCAGGTTATCTACACTAGATGGATAGAGTTAGTGTCTGTGGTTCAGGTTATCTACACTAGATGGATAGAGTTAGTGCCTGTGGTTCAGGTTATCTACACTAGATGGATAGAGTTAGTGTCTGTGGTTCAGGTTATCTACACTAGATGTAGAGTATGCCTGTGTCAGGTATCACACACATGGATTCACATTAGTGTCTGGTCATCAGGTATCACCACTGATGATCATCTCACTGTAGTCACACTGCTGATTACTATGTATCACCACCGTGGATTAGTGTCCTGTCAGGTACACCTAGTGATAGAGTTGTAGTCCTGTGGTTCAGGTTCACTCACATGTAGTAACCGTTGTGACCTTGTCGGTAGTCTCACACTAGTGATTACATATGAGTCGTGTCAGTCCCTGCTGATCACTTAGTAGTAACCTTGCTGTCTCAGTTAGTCTACACGTGATGACTCAATGTGCCCGACTGCTGAGATACCATCAGTCACGAACGTTGTTAACACTAATGTTCCCCCTGCTGATCATCTACTGATCAAACCACGGACTTGTACACCACTGTAGTCACACAAATGTATATCAACTGTAGTTGCCCACTTATCACTCAGAAGAAGTACCATGCTGATTGGTTACAGGCAAACATTGGCTGATTTATAGCTGCAGTGATCAACTAAGGATTAGCAGATCGATGGCTTCAGTATTCTAACTGTATATTGAAGAAAGTAGACTGCTGGTTTCAGGTTCATTTAACTAGATGGATACGAGTAGTGCTGGAAAGTAACTACACTAAGATGGATAGATAATGCCTGTCGTAGGTTATTACCGAGATATAGAGTAGTGACCATGTGGTTCAGGTATCTACGATAGATAAGTTAGTACGACTCGTCAGAGTGTCTACTAGATGGATAGAGTTACACATAGTGGTAGGTTTCTAATAGATGGATGTCAGTGTCTGGAGTTCGTTGATAACTAAGGATAGCTATGCCTGTGGTCAGGCTGTTGGATACATAAGGATAGAGTTAAGGTCAGGGTTCGGTTAATACAGTAGCTACACAGTCAGTAGAGGGGTCTGGTAGGATATACCAGATGGAATCAGCAGGGTCCTAATCCTCAAGAAAATTACACTGCACCATGGAAGAGTCCTGGTGGTGATGACGACCATTCAGGCAACGTGGTTTCTACGGACAAGGATACAGTGGTTTCGATCTGACCCATAACAATGGTCAAGCTTCGTAACCACATCACGACAAATAATGCAACTGTAGTTGCCAGCATGGACAGAGTGCAAGAGGTAAGGCCCTACACACAAATTAAATGGCGTCGCAACCTAAGCAATAGATAGTTTCCAACACGACGGCATATTCTAATGTTATCCGGGAGATGCCAAGTAGGTCCAAGACTTTTCAAGATTTTACTCCGCTACAGCCAAAAATCTGAACAAGCTAATCAGGAACCCGACTATTGCACTGCAACCCTCCTTGTAGATGGCTACACTCTGTCAGAAGCTTTATGGATAGTTTAAGTCCTACACTTTCATCATAGAGCTAGCCGGTGATACCGTGCCTACTATCACAGGAGCGTCTGGATAGATAGACTCCCTACTTCATTGAGTCTTTGGATAGATATAGCCTACACATCTAGTCATATGTTTGATTAGTATTGTCCTACACATAGTCAGGATGCTGTTTGATAGTATAAGTGCTTACAATATCAAATGTCATGTGGTAGGGATAAGTAGCATCACATCAGTAGATGTCTGGAAGTAGTACGCCTAACCATAATTGAGTGTTGATAGATAAGTAGCCTACACATCAGTCAGAGAGCTGTCTGGTGATCCAACGATGAGAGCAAATATATTTAATCTGAGTGGAGAAGTACAACTGAAGCACAAAATGTGTCCTCCTACATTCATGATTTGGAGCGAATCCTGACTGAAGCCGAGCAGAATGTACAATAAGAAGCATTTTAGATCAGCTTTTACAAAACGCAGCAAGATATTTATGCGTTTTATCTTTCCTTTTCTGCGTGAAAAACACAGAATCCTGCGTTATGACCCCTGGAGAGACAGTAGAACCACAGAGTTTCTAAACCCAGAGGCTCAACATCACAAGACTTCCAGGAATGGTTGCAAAGCAGACTCTGCAGACCAGACCGAGGTTTGGGGTTTGAGAAGTCAATGAGAGAAGTGAAACATTATTTCTTAGTTGTTAATTTTCTCGAATTCTAAATCCACAACCGAGATTCGAGCCAATGTCTTAAGTAGCTGAACATGTTATTACTCCAACTGACACTTTTAAATTTTCGTCAAAAATAACGTTATACGCATGCGCAGTTCGGCGCGAGACGACCGGTAGACCCTTAATATCTGTATTGTTTTAACATTTGGAAATAAATAGCGCCCCTTGTGTGCACTGCCGGTAATACAGTATAACCTGGTATGGATAATCGTAAAATAACACCCAACCCTAGTCTAGAGAGCATGACTCAGCGTGTCAGAACCATAGCAACAGTGTTCTAGAATGTGTTGAAACATGGCCACTCCTCTGTCACAGTAACAAAGTGCACCACATATTACACAAGCACGTACATGCACACACATGTATCCTTCATCTGTTCAAAAGACCGGTCATGTATGGAATGTTTAGAGGATTCCAGAACATCATACACACACAGTGGATGGGTCCTGACCTTTGCAGGGGTCAGGGTGATGGTTTTGAGTAGTACAGCAGCATTACTGCTATGAGCATCACACCAGGCAGGAGATAGCAGCAGCATCCTTCCAGTTGACACAGTTTTAACATCAACACTGTCTGTTCCAATCAACCACACTGGACAGAGCCGGGCTATCCCTACACAACTTCATATTACACACACACACACACAGAAACGCACACACACAGCGTTTCCCTCACTCACAGAATCGTACAGCCTTGTCAGTCTCTTCCTGCTCACAAATTCACGTGAGAGTAAACAACACAACGTGAGAGTAAACAACACAACGTGAGAGTAAACAACACAACGTGAGAGTAAACAACACAACGGGAGAAAACAACAGGAGAGATTCACACAGTGGGGTTGACACACGTGCGTAAACACACAAGTTAGTAGTAACACACGTAATTACAACAAAAACTGATCACTAACACAAGTGAAGCTAAGACTGGAGCTGTACAGAGAGTTAATTCACAACGTGAGGTAAATCAAACACCTTAGAGAGTTCGTGAGAGAGTACAATACAACTAGTAGGGGTCATTTGAAAACAACCTAAACATGTATACTCACACCTGATGAGGAAAGACACATGACTGGTCAACCAGTCGAGCTGTACTCAACACACAGCCAAGTCCACAACACTGATTCTAAGGTCTACCTGCGTGTAACTTCTTTTTATTCAATCAGTCAGGGTCTTTATACTACTAACAGCAGGGATAAGGAGGCCTCTCCTCATTCACGAGGTGCCTGGCTGCTAGTAGACGTCCTTGACTTGACACACACACACAGGTAATGGTGTTAGCGGGCCCATATCAGCAGGCAAGAGCCAGCGTTATCACAGTGGAGCCACCAGGGAACAGTCACTGTCTGAATACAGGGACAGATAGGTAGTCATGGTATTGCTGGTGGCTAGCCTCCTTCACTCTGATTGAGGCTAACCTTCTGCGCTAGGGCATGACCAGGTTAGCATGAGGGGGCTAGTGGGAGAGAATAGAAATCAAAACAACAACAGTTCAGCACGGTGAGTCACTAACCGGCCACAACAAATCAAAACAACAGAACTGTGGGTAACATGTAACGGTCTTCCGTGATAAATGTAGGGTGCCAAGAAGGTCAGGGAAAGTCTCCAAGCCCACCATAGACTCAGTCAGTGTTTAATAGTGTCTTATATGCTAGTGTGGACTATACATGTTCGTCTCTCATACACTCCATATTAAATGTCATCATTCAGCTAAAGGATGACAGGGTTTATTAAGCCACTACTATTTACAGGCTGATGTAGCAGTCAGTGTACTGTCCTAAATGTGCAGCAGAAACTTCCCTGAGCCGAAGGCTGAGAGTAGACTATCCTGCTAGGACAATACCGTAGCACAACTGGTCAACGATAGTGGAGATGGAGAGGATATGTCACAGCATTGGTTCACACACGCATACAGTACGATACGCAACGGTTCCAAATGCAAGAGAAGGGTTCCAAATGAGAGCGAAGGGTTCCAAAACAAGAGCAAAATAGTTTTAAAGCTTAGTTGCATCTTGTAAATCCATTTTTGGACTTACAAGTAATGATATATACACATTGATTATTGAAGAATATAACTTATAAATGCCTCATGAGCTTAGTTCAACTGTTGTATACCACCAGAACCCAAAATAAGCTTATAATTTTGATATCATGGATGGTCAGTCCTTGCATCCATAGCTGTCTATTAATCTGAGAGTAGGCCGATTCCTCAGCTTCCTAACCTCTCTGCATTACAACCAAATGATGATAAATGTACTATATTACCTATTGGATCACTAAAAAATACAACATTTACATTACCGTGTAGTTTACCAATAAAATGGTCTGATGGTGATGTGGATATACTCTGAATACATATCCCAAAATAAATAAATGATCTCATTCCAATACATTTTAATAGAAAGTTAGCAAAAATAGATAAGATCTTGCTACCATGGAAAGGTAAATACCTGTCTATTTGTGGAAAAATCACCCT